AATTAGTTTTTTTATTGTTTTGTTCTTTATTTTTGTTGTGAGAATCACTTTGCAATTATTGTGTAAGTGCTATATAAATAGTTTTACTAATATTATTGTTGTTACTATTATTAATAATGTCTTCTTTGTTTTCTTTATTCATCGCTGCAGAAAGGATCATGCCAGCCCACATCAAACACCTGATCAAGAGCTTGTGAACCTCACTGCTGCAGACACCTGTGTGATATTCCACTCTGACTGGAACCCTCAAAATGACCTGCAGGTACAATATATATATATATATATATATATATATCTGCTCTGTCCGTCCTAAAGATAGTTCAATAGGGCTACAACAACAACAGTCTTTCCGTTTATTCCCTCGGTTCTTTAAGTGTATATTTTCCCATTTAATGCTTAAAAACGTTGAACAGCAGCTGCACATGATGCTCTTTTGACCCCTCTTTTAATTTTTTATTTCAGGCTCAAGCTCGGTTCGTCATCGTTTTGGCCAGTCTAAGGCGGTGGAGGTGTACCGTCTGATCACTAGAAACTATGAGAGGGAAATGCTGGATAAAGCTAGTCTGAAGCTCGGGCTGGACCGTCCCGTCCTGCAGAGCATGAGTGGCAACAACAACGGGGTGAGAAAAAGAAAATCTGTCATATTTCTAGATGCCAAGTCATCTTTGGGTCAGTCGCTGTTGCAGTACGCTTAGTTTATTTTCAAAAAGAGTTTTCTAAATCCACTTGTGTAAATGTCTCTCTGCGTCGCCTTTAGCCGGTCCAGCAGTTCTCCAAGAAGGAGATGGAGGACCTGCTGAGGAAAGGAGCCTACGCCGCCATCATGGACGAGAACGACGAATGCAACCGCTTCTGCTAGGAGGACATCGACCAGATCCTGCAGCGAAGAGCCACCATCATCACCATCACCAGGTATGTTCTTAGCAGCACTAGCCACTTGCGCTTTGTGTTGGTAACCAAGTACTTGGTTATTTGAAATGTAATATTGATGATGTAATAATTAAAACTAGGGATGGGTACCGAGCCCCAGTATTAACGGGGCCCCGGGGCTGAATTATTAAAGACCGTGGTACCGTTAACGTCCAATGTTATCAATCTTTTTATCGTTACGGGAGACATTTAAAAAATAGATGTCATATGTATTATATCTACATAAACATTATATCGCAGTCTTACTGCAACTCCGTTTCTAATATGCAATAAGACTACAAAGTGCGTCTATGATTTATTTTCGATCTTTCCAATCCAGACGAGATCTCACACACACCACACACACACACACACACACACACACACACACACACACACACACACACACACACACACACACGCGCACACACAACACATGGCGGAGAGAACTAAGCGCCCCGAGGGTAGTTATGTTACCCGTCTTGAGCATGGATGTTTAATAAGAATACAGCATCGGAGGAGGGGCCTCGTTCTTTCCTATGAGAGCTGCTCATTGGAGCATGAAGGCAAAATGGCCCAACTTTTGAGAGAGCGAAACGTCACAGATTACCCGTCATGCCTGGCTGTCAGAGCAGAATAACCCGTTTGTGCGCTCACAGAGCATGCGCCCCTTAAGCCCCGCCCCCCGAGCACACACTCTCGGCTCACTAGAAAGAATGGAGAGAGAGAATAAATTTAGATTCGGCTTTTAGTGCATTTTACAACTTTAAGAACTTAATGATTCTAGGGCTATACAATAGTTCATACTGGGTAGTTTATTTAGTTTCAAAAAAATTATCCACCGAGTTACAGACGTCTCTTTCCCAATGTTAGTCAATGGGAAAAAGTATTTCTGGGCCGGTCGACGTCACAGACTGATAAGGAAATTGTAGTACCGCCGTTTGGACACAACGAATATTTTCCTCAGAGTCCGGCACACTTCCTGGGGGGCTTGGTCTTGAGGTGGAAAATGCTCGTTGCCAATAGTGCAATAAGAATTTAGCATGTAAGGGCGGTAACACAAGCTATTTGTCTAAACATTTAGCAAAAGTGCTCCACATTCAGACGGAGGAATGCACCGGGTTCGACTGTCTTTCTAGTAGCTCTGTAGCCCCATCCACGAGTAACGTTTCCACGTCAGGTATATATTATGTATGCTAGCAGCAACACACAGAGTTAACTCAATGATACAAACATGGGTTAATGATTAGAGGTAACTGAGTTATTTATTTTGTTAAAGTTACAGCTATTCTGTTTGCAGTTCTATCATCACATAATTGAATAAGATTTGTTAAAACATTGTTGTTTCTTATTTTCAGTTTGCTTCAAGCAGTGGCTGCACGAGAAAGACGTGGAGGACCAAGAAATGCTGGCCAGATTGGCAAAGACCGGAAGATACATAACAGAGAAGATAATGGATATTAACAAGAAAAAGAAAAAAAATGTTTATAATTTCTTTGTTGCTGTTTACATTTTGAATTATATTTGTTATTTTTAAATCAAATGCATCTTTTTTAGATGATATATTTATTTAGATGTAGGTTTTTTTTGTAATATTATTGTATTAAGTATAATTTATTAAATACAAATACTGTTATGAACACTATACAATGTCTTTATTTTGATAGTTACCAGAATACATTGTATATTTAATACTAACATAAGCTGGTGATAGATAAATGCTGGTCTGCTGGTATGCCAGCAGACAAATATTTATAAAGACAGGGTATGGCTGGGGTAGGCTACACCCATACCAAGAAATGGCTTAGCCCCACCATGAAAAATGATGTTAAAGTAAGCAAAATAAAGTCCGCCAACTCGCGCGGAGTAAATTGCACAGACAGCAGTTAGTAAGATTGATTTCAGTAGCCACTTGTCTGGAAATACGGAAGACCAGAAACGGTTTTGAAAACTTTTGTCACGTAGTGATCGTCTTCCCAATAGAACATCTTTGATAATGTCTTCCGGCCAATCAGAATCAAGATAACGGCGTGGTGTTGTTGCAGGAAGTCCCGACGGAGAATACTTTAGCTGTAGTACAGGAAACACATAACTGGTACGCAGGTTATGTGCGTAATCTGAAATGCGTACCGTCACTTGTGTCACAAAGCGCATTTGCGTACCGACGTACTTGTGAAACTTTTCCAAAAGGCGGTTAGATCACCGGACGACAGAGTCGGTCTCCGTGTGCACAGACAGGGCTGCTGTTAACGTCGGTCTGTTCAACGGAAATGTGCCAAAACTACGCCAACCGGCTACGGAGGGAGACTCCCCCCCCCCCCCCTTCACTGGAGAACTGCGCTAAAACAGCTGATCACAACGTTCACAGTCTGTGGTCACGAAGTACTCCACTCCACTAGCGCGCCCCCCCCCCCCGTCGACTTTCCTGAAGTTTCTAAGTAAGATAGAAATCAATACGTAATGAATTAAGACCCCACGGTTTGATGATTGATAGGTGCTCTCTTTCATTTTGACACACAGAAATTTTTTACAATAAACATGTTAAATGGATATATCCGCCTTCTTTCATTTATCTTTCCATTCCCACAAAAATATACATAAAGAAATGACATATTTTGGACATAGTTCGAATGGTGATTAATCATGATTAATACATTTTTAAGATGTGATTAATCTGATTAAAAATTGTAGTCGTTTGACAGCCCTAATTTATTTATTTTTGGATTAGATCATAGATACGTCCATGAGTTAAGAAATGGAATGATATGATGATTCACACTCATGTACAGTAGGTGGCGGTATTCACCTTAAAGTTGTTTGCAATCCGCCAAAAAACCGAGAGAAGAAGAAGTCAACTGGTTTGCCAACGGACAATTTACACCGAAGAAGAAGAAGCGAACATTTCTGGCGGGTGAAATTTAGAGTATCAGATTACATGCGATGTCTGACTCTCTGAGAATTTAGTAGTTTGCCTTAATGGCGCATTTCCACTGCAGCGGTCCTTCTCCTCCATTTTCTTCCTCTTCTCGAGTAGTCAGTGTGGTGCTGTTGCTTTGGTCTGGGTCTCTGGACCTGTGAGCTAACCACGCCCCGTTCATTTGCATATAAGGAATGGAAATGTCTCATCATGAAATACAAGTCACATGAAAAAAGCCATTATGAAATACGAGTCTCTTGAAATAAAGAAACGCGTCATTATGAAATACAAGTCATCTGAAATAAATAAATGTGTCATTATAAAATACGAGTCTCTTGAAATAAATAAATGTGTCATTATGAAATACAAGTCTCTTGAAATAAATAAATGTGTCATTATGAAATAAAAGTCCCATGAAATAAATAAATGTGTATTTAAATGTACATGTATACATATTTATTGCCTAATTTATTTATTTTATAATTTATTTCATAGGCATATTTATATATATATGTATTTATTTAATTGTTTATGTATATATTTATTTATTTAATATTGGCTTGAATGGCATTCCATAAATATGAGCTGCTGTAGAGCTCTGTTCTCCTCTCTGATTCCCCTCAGACCGTCAGAGACCACAGGAGCACAATCTCAACACTGACAGCTTTTGTAACAGAGCGTCACAAACTTTACACTCAAGTTGAAATGTGTCACGCTGCACGAATACGCAGGTGACATGAATTTAACATCTTCACTTCCTTCGTGTTGCCAGGCACGGATCTGGGTCTTTGCATTGACTCTACATGTGATTTCACTAAACTCTGTTTTATCTGCTAATGCTAAACACAACCAGCTCACCAGGTTATCACTATTATTAATAAACACCTTAAAAAGACATATCATAGATATGCTCAAGTAGTTAAATAATGTTTTGGACAATATATATAGTTTTTAAATCAGTATTTATCAACATTGTTGCTATTTAAAACCTTTTTATACACAGATACAATGATAATATAATTGCATATTGAAATATCCTTAGATAATGTTAGCCTACTCTGCTGCGTTTTCCCTTTACAAACTGCTCACATGATATCATTAAAGAACAGTTTAATATATTAGATTACATAAAAACTGGATCCTCTTCAGGTCAGTTTACAGGAGAAACTCTTACTTTGTGTCTGAGGGTCCTGGTTCATTACTGAAGCCTGGAGGAAGATCTTTAGACCGGTCACTCTTCAGAGACCACATGGAGACCGTAGACTCTGCTCTCTGTCTGTGGAAACAACACAAGTTTAAACATCATTAGTTCATTTAAAGAGCAGCTTTTGATCTGTGACTGTTCAACAGGGGCGGTTCTAGGGGGGGGGGGGGGCAGTGCCCCCCAACACTGACCTCTGACCCCCCTGTGGGCCAAAAATACTTTTTTGCCCCACTGTATATATATATATATATATATATATATATATGCCATTAAAAACTGGAATATATATACCTGGCTGCTAAATCCTCAGAACTGTTACAGGATGTGTATTTTGTAAATTGTATAACTTTTTATTTTATTATATTTTTTTTATCATATAACTTTCTTTTTTTTTTTTTTTAAATGTATATTTTCTGGTACTCAGGATTTTGTTGCTGTAATGTGAGATTGTGCAGACACTCTTATGTAAAGTAGAGATGTAACTGTTCATTGCCTTTATTTTTATATAAATATGGTGTTAGTGCAAACATTGCACTATAACTTAAGCTGAAGCTAACAGTAATAACTATAAGATCTATCTGAAATAAATAAGTGTACTGAAACAAATACCAATAACTGTATTATTATAAACGTTTTACATATTTGTATTTGATTTGCTTAATTTAACACAAAGTCCAACATGTAGAGTGTGAGGATGATTTCACTAGTAGATTATTTACCATCTCTGATGATGACAAGAAGCAAGAGATCAATTCAACTTTGTTAATGTACTCTACTGGGTTTCATTAAACAGTTTAGATGATCAGATACCAACAAACTGAATCCTCTTCAGGTCAGTTTACAGTAGAAACTCTTACTTTGTGTCTGAGGGTCCAGGTACATTACTGAAGCCTGGAGGAAGCAAACCCATAGACCTGTCACTCTTCAGAGACAGACAGCTGGAGACTGAAGATGTGTCCTCTTCCTCATCTTTTAAATCACTCATCTTCTCCAGTCTGAGAGAGAGATACAACACACACACACACACACACACACACACACACACCCACACACACACACACACACACACACACACACACACACACACACACACACACACACACACACACACACAATTAAAATACATGAAATCAGTCAGACTTCAGACAGGCCGTTCTCCATTTTGTCTGCACTGGGCTCTCACATGTAATGTAACTCTGAAGAATCAGAAAACAGGAAATAATAAAAGTGTACAACACTTGCAGAAGTCTCAATGGACTCTAGGACGATGATTGTTAACCAATAAGTTATTTTCTGATATCCAGTTTGACAGAGTAAATAATAAATGTGTTAAAAAGCAGATCGTGGTGTTAACACTCACCCTGTTGTTCTCCTCGTGTCGAGCTGTAAAATGGCGTCTGGCAGTCTGACAAGTCTGACTTCATACTTTCACTTTCAACTTCCCGCCCTGTCTGCAGCTCCTCCTCTGACTCATAACCAGCCTTATCAGCTGAAGCAGTTCACATGCAGGGACTTTGTTCAGTGAGATAGAAAAAGACATGCAGCTAAAAACAAGCTCAACAAAGTTATCAAAAGGACACAACATCCACTCATCAACCTCCATAGGAAGTCATTAAATCTGCTTTATATAACAAACAATGAACAGCGACTTAAATAAAAACACAAGGCTACATTTAACTAATTTATAAGATGTGCCAAAATCAGGGCTGAAATAGATATTTTACCTCGCAAGTGTTTTAAATAGGGGCAGAGAAAAAGGAGAGAATCACGCTGCAGCACCTCACTGAAAATGGTTTTAAATAAGAGGGAAGTGTGCAGGGATGCTCCAATTCGTGTTCATGCAGCCCCTAAATAATGGTAATACTGATTAAAAATCATTTCTAGGGCAGAAAGTATTTTAAAAGTGAGAACAACTATTTTAAATGGCTTAAAAAGCACAAAGTGATTTAAATGCAGTTCCAAGTCTCCCCACAGGAGGGCTCCAGAGAGCGCATCACCCGACATGAGTACAGTTCATTAACAGTAGGAAATACGATAAGTAAAGGCAAATCAATTGATTTAAAGTGCAGGGAGGCTCCGCACCAGACACAGGTACATTCCTACATCCCCACAACAGTGACACTGATGGTTTAAAGTCGTTTTGCGGGGGAAAGAGTGCTACAAGTCTGAGAAAACTCTGATAACAGTCTGATCAAAGTTTGATTGCTTCAGAGACCCAATGACACAATAAACCATTTACATCTAAAAGTATTGATTACAATTCATTTTTATGGGGAAAAGTGCAGATGAGGTATTTTTGGTATTTTGGGCAAAACACTTCACCCAACCCTTTATACAACTGCAATATATACCTGGCTGCTAAATCCTCAGAACTGTTACAGGATGTGTATTTTGTAAATTGTATAACTTTTTATTTTAATATATTTTTTTATCATATAACTTTTTTTTACTTTAAATACTTTTTGCATGTAACATTATGTAACATTAAGCTGTCAGTGGCTGTTTTCTGCTGTAACAACGTACATGTCCCCTCTGTGGGACTAATACAGGTTTTCTGATCTGATTCTGAACTGCGATGCTCAACAGCTCGCTTAACGGAACTTTGACGCTGGTATCAGTTTGGTTTCCCACCAATCACGGGAGTGTTGTGTGTAGAAAGTGTTGAGTTATATTTCTCGCGCTACCTTACATCCATGAAGGCAACATGACAGAGGGAGGGAAGCAGGCCCGGTTCCAGAACAAAATGACTCAGGGTGCATCTGAGATTAGAGAGGGTGCAGTGGTAAAGTGCTATTGTTATAAGTGGGGAGTGGACCTAACACCCTCTAGGGGGGTCCTCACCTCCTCTAAGGGGGTCCGGGGGCATGTTCCCCCGGGAAGATTTTTTTTTAAATATTGAAGTTAAAAGCATCAATCTGGTGCACTTTGAGAGCAACATTAAGAGATCTATGGATGTGCTCTTTGCTTGATTCATGCCTTCCCAGTCCCTTATCACGTACAAGAGCATGGCGCCAGTTGTTGTAGCCCGTTGTGGTGAAGGCATCTGACTTACTTGAACCGAAATGTCTACATGCATAGCAGAAGATGGCATCTTTTTACATGAATATTCCAGCCAATCTCTGTTTTGAAACCATGAGCAGCAAAATGAGCGCCTTACCCCACTGTACACGCAAGTTGGGTACTTTTTTAAATATACCTGGGCAGGCTCTGTTTTGCCGAGGTCCTCTGGGACTTGTGGGGCGCTGAGGGGTGGCGGTGTTTGGGGCAACGAAGACGGCTGCGGCTGCTCTGCCTCCGTGGGCGAGGCGTGCAAAGCCGGCGAGTCGGGCAGGAGGACGTTAGTGTCCACGACAGTGGCCGCGGGTAACGTAATGTCCCCATGACCTGAACTGTTGTTACCTGCAGTAGATGCAGTGTTACTGCTGGCGATTAGGGCTGGTTGTTTTAACCATTTTCTGATGTCCATCATTGACTGCTGTGTAAGCACCTTGCAGATGACGAACGCGCAGCGGCACAGGTCACGCGCACCTCACATAATAACGTTACTTACCGTTTAAATTGACCAAATAAATGCAGCAGACAATGTTATTTAACCACAATTACCATTTATTTTATTTCAACTAAATTATTCTTATTACTATTATTATTATTATTATATATGTAATATTTTTCACTTTTTTTTTTTTTTTTTTCACTTTTCAAATGAGGGTGCATAACGACTCAACTGAGGGCAATGCACCCTTATGCACCCCCGTAGAACCGGGCCTGGAGGGAAGTCACTCAGGATGCTAAACTACTCTTTGGTAAGCCCCGCCCCCCCCCCAAGCAACATCAGGGCCAAAAGTCTGAAAGCGAAAAAAACGGTGAAACCTGAAAAAACAAGATTTGAAACTAAAAAGATAATTGTTTGGAATCTGAAAACGGAAAATCTAAAACTGAAAAAAAGGTTTCAAATATCAAAATATGTATAAAAGGAGTGGAGCTGTCTTTTTATGAAAAGTAATTAAGCTCGCTCCGACTTCTTTCTCTTTTTTTTAATCAAAAAAAGCTAACTATTCAGTCAGACATCAATTTATTATAAAAGTAAAGCAAGTAGATTTTCAAGCACTTTCACCAAAATCCAAGCACTTTTCAAACCTTGAAAACACCACATGAAATGTACCCGTACGAACCCTGTTTTTAAGACCCCGCGGACACCCTGTTAAAACAACTTCAATTTAAATCTTCAGTGGATCCCTTTCAGCGGCCAGAGACACGTCTTAACCACAAATTAAAATAGCCTAACAAATATGGATTGAAGCAGAATACAAATCAAAAACATGTCATTTTTGGAAATGCGTATTCCTATTTTTCCAGTATTATTTGTTTTACTTTTGGTCTTAACGCCGCAGTTATTGGAAATCACACATTTGGTTCAGACCCATCACTGGAAAGCCCATGAATGATAACCCAGCCACACAAACACCTGACTAATAGCTCTTTTTTATTAACAGACATCATGAAAATGTCGACAGTAACAAAATTGTTTTAGTTTCTTTTTAATGACTGATTTTAAATGCCATTTTCTTAATCTCTTTAATTTTTTTGAATTGCCTTGTGTTGAAAAGTGTGTTGAAAAGTGCTATAGAAATAAACTTGCCTTGCCTTGCCTAGTCCATTAAAAAAAAGTGGGTTTGGATTGACAAGACTCCTCCCACAAAATAACTTAATGAGGGGGAGGGTAAAAGAAAGGGGGGGGGGGGTTGTGCTCCGACACGTAAATGTATCTGATATTTCCTCCTTTCCTTGTATGTTACTCGTCTTAATGCGTTAGGAAAGACCGGCTTACAGCAGCTCAGTCCCATGTGACCCTCAGACCCAACCCTGTCGAGGAAAGGGGAATATCCGACACATTTCACACGGTATTAAAATGGGGGCGACTCAGCAGGATCAGAGTTCCTGAATGATCTGAAAAACACTTCAGAGATGAGAAAGAATATCTGACTGCACGGTTACGTTTGTCTTTGATCACTACCACACAAGCCACACACACCTACGTTTCGTGTTTCACTGGCATCATTAAAAAGGGATGTTTGTGTTTTAAAGTAGGGTTGTATAAAAGTGTATTACCTACAGTAGATGACGATATTTCCTCTGCTTAACCTTGCCGTCAAACGAGGACCCAAAGCATTTTGTGACGCTCTCGCCAAAGCCAGACGCCATCGATAAAAGCAGTGATTTTATAAATCGCAGAACAAAAAGGCGTTGCTGTTCTACTTCTACCTCTATCAGTTAGTTATTTTGTGTAAATCGTGTGACGTCAGTGAATCCAAACTAACTATTTTAAACACTAAAGTCACAAAATACCACCAAAAAAGCCGTACTAGTTGAGGCAGCAGAAAGCGAGAAACTTCTGTTTTCAGCGATGTAAAAAATAACTGGTTTCTGACGATGGAGTTTGGTGGCTTTTAGAGAGCAGTTACTGTCGGTCATACCTGAACTATGGATATGCGACAACCCCACACACAATCTGATCTATCCCTTTCAGTCAGCAGGCTACTTTATTGATCCATTTCATAGGACGACCCCCCGAAAAACAGGCTGGTAGGAAACACAATAAGCGAACAGAGAAACAGAAGCAGACACGAAAAAGTGAAGCACCATCAGAAAACATGATAGTAGTGAATTAAGAGAGGGGGGGGTTATATACAGAGGGAGGGGCTGTCAGCGTGTGCCTTTGTCAACAATACAGGTCACCATGATTACATTTTTGCAAATCCAGCTGCTTAAAGAACATTAAAGGTAAAAGGGGTTTCCCCAGGAGGAGGAGTGTGAGAGCAGGGGCTGCACGCAGACCCCCAGAGTGGATCTGAACACACAGATCAAGAGGGATAGAAAACGTCAACTTGTCCTGCAGGCATGGCTGAACTCTGCTCCCGCTACCCCTCACTTCCTTTGAGATAGACACAGGTGACAAGGGTGGAGGGACATGGACAGTGTTACGAGACAGGAGCCTTATTGTAGACACTGTAGTGTGTATATATATATATTATATATGTGTGTACTGTGTATGCAAGGTGTGTGGATGTGTCTCCTCATGTCATGTGTGTGTTACATGTGTCTCCCTTTGTGGCAGCAGTGTGTTTAGGCCTCGCTCTCCCCCGCTGACGAGGTGTTCTGCACCTCCTCCTCCAGGATGGGCACGATCAGGTTGTCCTTGGACATCAGGTTGTACTTCATGACGAAGCGCGTGAACCGGTGACACAGGAACGTCTCGTTCTGTAGGCAGAAAAAACAGATCAAAACAAGGTCAATCTGGCGTTCTGATTCATTCAAGTCATTTATGACTTTTCCTGCAGCACGTAGCACGGTTTAAGCTTTCTGCTTTTCCACTAGGGCTAGTTCCGGCTCAGGGCTACTTTTTCACCTTTTTTCTGGCCCTCCAAAATGGAGGTTCTTACCGGGCCAACAACCGGGCTGCATATGCTAAACCACTCTCGACTGCTGATTGGTCAGAGAGAATCGCTGGCAAGGGGGGGCTACAACTACAACACAATGAACATATTTAACCGTG